ATCTCTGAGACGAGCGGGCTGGGGCCGCGCTAGACACTTCCTAGACACGTCCTAGACACTTCCCAGACTCTGAGACGAGTGGGCTGGGGCCGGCCTAGGGCCAGGGCCGTCGCACGCCTGGTGCGACACGAGCGAGGCGCAGAGCGCGGTGAGGCGGAGCGAGGTGCGCAACAGCAGCAGCGACTCGAGCCGCGCCGGCTCGCTCGCGCCGGCCGCCACCAGCCGCCACAGCCGGATCGAGCCGTCGGTCGAGGCCGACGAGAGGTGCGCGCCGCCGCCGCCGCAGGAGCGGAAGGTCGAGACGAGGCACTTGATGCGGGAGGCGTGCGCGGCGGCCGCCTGCGAGAGCCGCTCCCCCGAGCCTAGGAGGTGTCTCGGAGGTGTCTCGGAGGTGTCTCGGAGGTGTCCCTCGGAAGTGCATCTGCGAGAGCAGCTCCCCCGAGCCTGCGTCCCACAGCTCAATCGCCCCCGAGGCGCCCCCCGACGCGAGCACGTCCTCCGACGCGAACGCGGCGGCGGCGGGCGGCCGCTCGTGCTGCATCTCGACGGGGGCAGCGTCGCCTGTTCATCATGAATGACTCCTCACTGATGAGTGGACTGGCTGCTCGTGCAGCATCTCGGCAGCTTCTCCTCCGAGCGCGTGCAGCCGCAGCGCGCTGCCGGCGGCGGTGACGTACGCGTCGCCGCGCGGCGTCCAGAGCAGCACGCGCGTCGGCTGCGGCAGCGCCGACGTGTAGTTGCACTTGCCGGTCTGCAGGTTCCACAGCCGGAGCTTGCGGCCCGCGCAGACCGACAGGGCGAGCCGTCCGGAAGGGTGCACCGCGAGCGCCTCGATGGGCGCGGAGTGGCCCTTCATGCGCAGGAGGCACTCCCAGTCGCTCGTGCGCCAGATGCAGACGTCGCCGTCGCCGCCGCCGGAGAGGAGGTGCGTGCCGCCGTAAAAGGAGAGGGCCGAGACGGCGCCGCCGCCGCCCTCCTGCAGCAGGCTGCCGTGCGCGCGCCGCTTCCGCAGGTTGTAGACGCCGAGCGTGTTGTCGGTCGAGCCGGTCACCAGGTGGTCGGCCGCCGCCGCCGCCGCGCGGATGCAGCCGTCGTGCGCCTTGAAGGCGAAGAGCGGCGTGGCGGCGGCGGGCGCGGCGGCGGAGGAGCCGAGCGAGGAGGCTGCGATCGAGAAGCCGACGAGCTGGCCCTCGTACGAGCCGGCGACGAGGACGATCTCCTGGTGCGAGCCTCTCGAAGCGGCGGCCATGTCTTGAGGCAGTCCAGGGCGGGAGAGGACCGGGAGAGGCGCGAGGACGCTGGAGGCGGTGGCGGAATTTCTTTTCCAGAGATCTGCGGGGGGGGGAGGGGAGGGGGAGGGGGGGGTTCCGCGGGATTACGGAGTTAAAGGGTGGTCTTGCGAGCCAGTTCAGTCTCAACCACACGCCCCCCGCGCCTTTACTCCACCAAGTCAAGGTAAAAAGATCTTATCAGCCAGGCGGGCAGGCGGGCGCTGGGGAATCAAACAAAAAGAAAACGAACCAACAATATACCTAAAACGCCGGCAACACAGCCATCGAAGCTGCACAACGACGCCGCCGAGCCCACGCCGACGAACGCCGCGGCTCCCAGCTCGAACGCCGCGCGCCGCGATATGCGCCGCCTGCCCGTGCTCGATCTCGCGCTCTGGCGCTCCGCTCCGGCCGACTTTGCCTCGCAGCTGCGGCACGCGTGCCACCACCACGGCTTCTTCCAGCTCCGGCACCGCGTGCCGTCCGGCGTGGTCGAGCGCGCGGTCGCCGAGGCGCGCGAGTTCTTTGCGCGCGGCGCAGAGCACAAGCGCGCCATCGACTACAGCCAGAGCCCGGCATTCCGCGGCTACATGGCGGTCGGGGTCGAGAACACCGCCGGCCGGTGTGACCATCGGGAGCAGCTCGAGATCGCCGCCGAGGGCGCGCCGCCGCCGCCCGCGGCGTGGCCGCCGTACACGCGACTGAGAGGCCCCAACCAGTGGCCGGCGAGCCAGCCCGGGCTGCGCGTCGCCATCGACGACTACACTGGCCACATGCTGCGCATGTCTGCCGAGGTGAGAGGGGGAGGTAGGGCGAGATCTGGGGAGATACGGGGAGATCACGCCACACATGCTGCGCGTGTACTGCCGAGGTGACGTGCGCGCTCTGCGCGGCGCTGCGCCTGCCGTCGCGGGCAGTCGAGCCCTACTTTTCGCCGGCGCCGCACTGGCAGCTGAAGCTGGCCGCGTACCCGCCGGCGGCCGGCGTGTGCCACACCTCCAGAGTACCGAACCCGGTGTGGGTTCAGTCCTGTGGGTGGTGTGGTAGGCGCCGGCCGCCGCCGCGGCAGGGAGGGAGGGCGGTGCCGGCGAGAGGCCCGTCGGTGTCGGTGCGCACACGGATTCGGGCGAGATGTAGCCGAGATATGGCCCGAGATGTAGCCGAGATATGGCCCGAGATGTAGCCGAGATGTAGACCGAGATACGGCCCGAGAGGTAGACCGAGAGATGTGCACGCCACGGCGTCCAGCAGCCCTCGGCCGTCGCCGCCACGAGAGTCTCCCCACACCTCCCCAGATCTCCCCACACCTCCCCACACCTCCCCACACCTCCCCACACCTCCCCACACCTCCCCACACCTCCCCACACCTCCCCACACCTCCCCACACCTCCCCACATCTGCCCGCAGGCTGGCTCACCGCCCTCCTGCAGGACGAGGCGGGCGGGCTGCAGGCACAACCGCAGTCCTAAGCAATGGTGGGGGTGGGGGTGGGGGTGGTGGTGGGGAGATATGGGGGAGATATGGGGAGATGATGACCGCTTGTGTGCGTGCGAGGCCTTCACGCAAGGGGAGATATGCGGGAGATATGGGGGAGATATGGGGAGATGATGACCGCTTGTGTGCGTGCCAGGCCTTCACGCAGGGCGAGTGGGCGGACGTGCCGCCGCTGGGGCTCGAGTACTTGGTGATGAACTTGGGCGAGGTGGCCGAGGTCGCGAGCGGAGGCGACTTGAGATATGGGGAGATATGGGGAGATATGGGGAGATATGAGGAGATATGGGGTGGTGGCCGAGGTCGCGAGCGGAGGCGATTTGAGATATGGGGAGATATGGGGAGATATGGGGAGATATGGGGAGATATGGGGGAGGTGGCCGAGGTCGCGAGCGGAGGCGACTTGAGATATGGGGAGATATGGGGAGATATGAGGAGATATGGGGAGATATGAGGAGATATGGGGAGATATGAGGAGATATGGGGAGGTGGCCGAGGTCGCGAGCGGAGGCGACTTGCTCGCGAAATCTCTCCGTCTCTCCCCACCTCTCCCCATCTCTCCCCACATCTCCCCACATCTCCCCACATCTCCCCACATCTCCCTAGGCTACTTGCTCGCGACGCCGCACCGCGTCTTGGCGACGGCCGCGCCGCGCCTCTCCGTCCCCTTCTTCTACAACCCCGCGCTCGAGGCGATCTCCTCACATCTCCTCACATCTCCTCATATCTCCCCATATCTCCCAACCCCGCGCTCGAGGCGATCGATGGAGTGTTGCATCGACGGGTGAGCGACTGAATGCAGTGAGTCACTGAGCTGCAGCCCCGATCTCCCCCGATCTCCAGGCGGTGGTTGAGCCTCTCCCGCTGCCGGCCGAGCTCTGCTGGGAGCGCGACGCCGCGCAGCGGCGGCTTCTCCGGTAAGACCTCGATGCTCTGACGAGGGCCGTGTTCGGTTCTGTAGGAGCGCGACGCAGCCTACGACGCCGAGCGGCACTGGAGGCGGCCGCCCCAAGCCAACGTCTCGGCCAGTCCTGGAAAAGTCTCGGAAAAGTCTCGGCGAGGCCCGGCCACATTCTCTGCCGCAGGCGGCCGTCCAACGCGATGCTGCGGCAGTACGGCGCCAACGCGCTCAAGAGCCTCGCGCGCTCGCACCCGGCTGTCTTCGCGGCTCACCACCCCGACTTGCAGGTGGACGAAGGCGGACTAGTTACTGCAAAATGCTCTCCCTGGCTCCCAGCTTAGCTCGCTTAATTGCACAAACAGCGCGTCCTGCGGGCGCCTCCGCCGCGCAGTGTGATTGTACTTGTCACTTGTGTCCGTGTCACGTTGCACACCAGATCTGTGCCGCGTGCGGCGGTGGGCGCATCGGTTATCTATCACAGTGTGCATGGCATGTGCATGGTTTGCAGCAGCCGCGGACCTTTTGGGTTGTTTGGTTGGCGAGGGGCAGCAGCGTTCAAACGACCGTGTGTGTTGTGTATGTATGGCATGTGTCGCAGCGTCTGTATGCAGTTTATGCGGTGAGTGGGCATGGAATTGTGCATGCACATCCACATGTGCATTCTTCACAGCACAGAAGGCACCCACGGCCTGCCTTGCACACGCACAGCGGGGGCTCCCCCCGCCGGCGCAGCCATCCCAGCTCTCCGCCGGGCCTCACCCGTGCGTCGCGCGCCCAGGGGGTAGCTCTAAGGTAAGGTAAGGTAAACGTCTCCACACACACAAAGTGGTGGGGCAAGGGGGGGCGACCCTCGCATCTCCACGCCCGGACACGGGCAGGGTCCAGAGGGAGCCCCACGGCATTCAAAGTGCAAGCACCGGCCCGGTGCCGTGGGTGAGCAACCTGCACCCCACTCCCTCCCTCCTAGACACAGGACCCACACACAACCCCCACAGGTGGACGACTACGTGTTCAGAAACACCAAGCAGCGAGGCGAGGGTGAAGGGGTAGGTCTACCCGACAGCCCGACAGCACACAGTGGCCTGACAGCAGCGCTGACAGCCCGACAGCAGCACAGACCGTACACAGACCCCGTAGAGCCTCTTTCTTGTGCCCCATGAGGGTATAACAAAATTACATGCAAAGACATGCACATGTGCATGCACATGTGAGTGTGGTCCATGACCATGTAGTCATGGGATGGTCACGGGTCTCTCTCTCAACCCTCCCGCCCCACCTCTGCGGACCTCTCTCTAGCACCGGCGCGGCTGTGCTACTACAAATGAAGCTACCAGCTAGCCTTCTGGGGCCCTACAGTCATATGTCTCTTCATCATTGACTGAGCAGGCGTACCGCCTCTCCGAGCTGCCGCGCGCGCTCGACGAGGCCGAGGCGCGCGCCGCGTCGGGCGTGCGCGGGACGCGGTGGCCGTTCTGCGGCGCGCTGCTTTTCCCCGGCCACGCCGTGCCGTCGACGCAGCCGCCGGGGCCCGGCTGGGACCGGCACCGCTGCCGCTCGCAGACGACGGGGCAGGACTACTAGGAACTGTCTAGGAACCTTCTAGGAACCTTCTAGGCACCGCTCGCGGACGACGGGGCAGGAGTACTAGGAACTGTCTACGGCCCACCCGCACTTCTCCTCCATCGGATGTGTCCGGTAGGGGCAGTACGTCTTGCACTCGGCGAGGGCCGTTGGGAGGTAGACGGCGAGGAGACTGAGTGCCCGGAGCGGCGACATGTGTGCGACGTAGGTCAGGACTCGGGTTGCTCCCAGCCACGTACTTGCGAATGGTGAACCGTACTAGTAAAAGTTTGTCAAGTTGGCATAGGATCTGCCTGGGATTCCGCTGAAATGTTTCTCGGTAAGTGATCCCGTACGATTTCCCCAATTTCTTCGCCACAATGTTATTACTTGCTTATCGGACTACCGCCTCCGGCGCAGGCCCCCCCCTCCGTTTTTTACTTGCTTATCGGACTACCGCCTCCGGCGCAGGCCCCCCCCTCCGTTTTTTACTTGCTTATCGGACACCGCCTCCGGGGGCTCCGGCGCAGGCCCCCCCCTCCGTTTTTTACTTGCTTATCGGACCACCGCCTCCGGCCCAGGCGGTGAGCCTTCTTTTCTAGACCGCTAGGATTGAGAGCAGCCTCGCTCTCAATCCTAGAAGTCGAAGGATTGTGAGCAGCACCCCTCGCAATCGTAGCATCTCTGTACGATTGCTAGCACCTACGCTCGCATTCCTACATCTTCTAGGACTAAGAGCAGCTCCGCTCCCAAGGTGACTGGTAGGGCTTGCTGACCCGCTATGAAACAAGAAAGCGGAAAGCGGGAAAAGAGAAAGAAAACCCCGTGGACAGTCGACACAGTGTGTCCCCCACCATTGCACCACGAGCAATCCTTGGAAACATGGAACAGCCACAGGGAGGGAGGGGGCACAGCCACAGGGGAACGGGAGGGAAGAAAGCTGAAAGCAAAGAGGACCTTCGCGTATTTTCGCTCGTGTTGTAGCCTGGCGTTTGTGCCCCGTTTGTGCCGCGTCCCGTGCCCAAGGTCATTTTACTCTTTCGCACAGGAGCGATTCGCGACACCGTGAACGCCGAAATCTTCGAACAACCAACGGAGACTCCGAGACTCTAGGATCGTTGCGCGCCGCCGCCGTGACGCACCGCACATCGATGCAGGAGCAGAGAAGACGGAGATGACGGCTGAGAGGAAGCTGCTCACTGACCGTGCTGGCGTGGCCATGCAGCTTGCGCTGTTGCTCCTCGCCATCTCGCTCGCCGCGGCCACTGCCAACGCCCGAAATTCAAAACCAGGGGGAGATGGGCTCTCGACCTCGTGTCGGAGTATGGTGGACTCATCTGCTGTCGATGCGCCCGCGCGCTCGAGCGAGGGGCGAGAGCCCGGATGCTCGGCACGGCTCGGAGCCGCGCTCTCTGTCGGCCCTCTGCAGGACATTGGTACTGCGGCGGTGAGCGCCATCCACGAGGCGGTTCGCATGCATGGCATGGTGGTATTTAAAAACCAGGCCCTCTCCCGCGCCGAGCAAGTCGCTCTCACCGATGTGCTGGGCGAGACCATCATCCTGCCGCGGTCGTTTGAGGGGCAGGACACAAACGTAGATGCCACAGACCTATCTCCACGTGCATCTTAAACGCGGCCTGCTGCACGGAAGCGAATGGTTCTCGCTCGCGCAGCGATGCAGCGCTCCCTTGACGCAGCCTAAATTCCCGGTGCTATCACGGCCTCCAACTCAGCCGGTGCATCTCGCCTCACCGCCCGCGCCTCCCCCCTACGCCTTGCAGGACCCAGAACCAGGCCACCCGGCCATTCAGCGCGTTTCTACCCACTGGGCCAACGGAACGTGGAAAGGCAGGCACCACTCCTTTGGAGCGTACTGGCACTCCGACGGCGACTTCTGGCAGCCGCCCCTTCATAACGTGCTCTCAATTCTGTACGCGGTCACAGTGCCCCCCTCCGGAGGTGCACTGACACACTGACTGATTTGGCTGCCTGACGGACTAGATCCTAGCCTTGCGGCCTCGCGCTAGGCGAGACGGGCTTCGCAGACCTGCGCGAGGCGCGCGCTGCGCTCGCGACCCCGCTGGCCGCGCGTGCCGCCAACGCGTCCATCACTGCCTCGGTGAGAGACATAAATGACTTCGCCGGAGGCGACGAGGACGACCTGGCGAGGTTTCCGGTGGCGGAGCACAAGATTCTCAACCGGTGCCGAGTCTCACCTCGCACCCTACCTCCCCTGCCTCCCTGCCCTTGCCACACGACTCCCACCGTCTTTCCTGGCCTCCTCCCCTGGCTTGCAGACACCTCGACGGCGGTTCGCTCCTCTACGTGGGCTCTCCGAGCGCTAAGGTGGTGGGCGCCGAGGGCGAGGGTGGCGAGCTGCTCGCGGCGCTCATGGATCACGCCGCCAGTCCCCCCTTCACCCACTACCATGCCTGGGACGCGGGCGACGTGGTCGTGTGGGACAATACTCAGACTCTGCACCGCAGCTTCCCGTTCGACAACGACGGCAGCTCGCGGCGCGAGCTTTACCGCACTCAGGCCCGTGTGCGGCTTGGACGCGGGCAGGGCTGGCCAAGGAGAGACGAGCTCTGATCTGGAAGGTACACTTTGCTACTTGTCGGGCTAGCGTGACTCCCGACTCCCGTGTGGACAATTGGCAGTCAATTCACACGCATCTCGCTGGTCAGCTCAATCCAGTCTCCCTCGCGTGGGTGCGGCCGCGGGTCGCGGTGCACGGAGATGGCGAGAGGGGACAGGGGAGGGACGGCACGTCGACGCGTCAACGCCGGTCTGAGCTTCGGTGGGGGTGTCGCGCGTTGCGTGGCGGGTCGCGCGGTGCTGCGCGCCGCGTCCCTGCGACGAACCGACGTGCGCGAGATCTGGCCTCTGGGAGAGCCGGCTCTCGGGCTCGCTGCGACTGCGTCACTGCGTGTGTGGTCACGTGTGAGTAGTGAGAGAGCGACTCACAGTAGATGCGCGTCGAAAAATGCTAGTAACTTCAAACAGTGCAACTTGGCCCCGCGTTCGGAGACCCCACAGGCGCCACGCCGCGAGGCACGCCGCCGCTTGACGCCGCCAAACCCGCGCCAGAGACGAGAGAGCGAGGGGCAGCCCGCGCGTCCTATGCGTCCTTGCGGTTGACGAACTCGGCCTCGAGCGACGCGAAGAGCATGTCGTTGAGCTTCTCCTTGCTGATCCGGCTCCCGTCCTCGGCGAGGCACGGCAGCCGCTTCCAGTGCTCAAAGTGGTGCGAGCACCAGAGGTATGTCTCGCGGACGCCGTTCTTGTACTCGGCGCCGGCCGTCTCGTGCATGTCGAGCGCGGCGCGTGTGCCGTCCGAGCTCAGCGAAGCGAGCGCGTCGCGCGGCGGCAGGTCGAGGTAGGTGACGCGGTGCGCGCGGGGAATGGCCAGCCACTCGTGCTCAAAGGTGGCGAGCGCCTAATCTCGGGTGATCTCGGGTGATCTCGGGTGATCTCGGCTAGCCAGCAGCCCCTCGTGGCGAGCGCCTCGATGAGCGCGGGCCGCTCGCCGGCGGGGAGCTTGGAGGCCTGGTGCCCAAAGTTGGCCTCCACGTACCGGTCCAAGATCACATTGTCCCCGCGGCGCAGCCAGTGCGTGAGCAGCGGCGTCACGTCGAACCGGTTCTGCGAGTAGAGCGAGGCGAAGAGCAGCGGGTTGACAGCCTTGATGCCGCCCTTGGCGCCCGAGAGGAGGGTGCGGATGAGGCGGCCGTGCATCGCCGCGTCGTGCGGGAAGTCGATGCTCGAGACGGGGTAGCCCAGCCCCTCCAGCCGCGCACGCAGCATCGCCGTCTGCGTCTGCTTTCCCGCGCCGTCGCCACCCTCGACGACGAAGATGCGGCCGGGCTGGGCGGGCGGCGTGAGGAAGCGCTCCACCGCGAGCGCCGCCTCTGCCGCGCCCGCGTACACCGAGCATGTCAGCAGCGGATGCTCCAGAGCCTCGATTGCGGGCAGCTCGGACGCGCCCGCGCGGCGCAGGCAGAGCACGGGGATGCGGCGGGTGTGCAGCGCATACACCACCTCCGCGCCGACCGTGGCGTCGCACCCGCTCAGGTCGGCGACGAGCGCTTCGCACCCGTCCAGCGACGAGACCCAGTCGGCACCACCGCCCGCGACGACAGGGGAGAAGCGCTCAATCGATTGGCGCAGCGGCTCGGGCTCGGCGGCCGGCTTGGCAAAGTAAATGGGCGTGTAGAGCGTGGCGGCAGCGGGGTGCATCGGGTGAGCGCAAGCAGGGCACCACACCAAGCGGACCTCGCCAAAGGCTCGTGCTTACGCGGTCCAACGATGGGACCTCTCCCGCTTTCCGTGGAGACAAAAGAATTCTCCGGTGCGAGGGTGTGCGGCGGGTGTGCGGGATGTCTGTGGGACCGAGAGAGCGATGTGCTTGTGTCCGCCTTGCGTTTGTTTGCATAACATCGAAGGCTAGCTCAGAAAGAATTTTACAAGCGCACAGCTGCAGAAAAAGAAAGAAAGAAAACGGACAACCCAAGGGAGGGAGGGGAAAAGAAAGAAAGAAAGAAAAAAGAAAACAGACAACCCAAGGGAGGGATGGGAGGACGGCACGCCGCCACCACACAGGGATTTTAAGGAGAGGTGTGTGGTGCGCTAGCCGTCGCCCGCCCTAGGGAGTCTGCCTCTTCCTATCTCTCTTCGCAGTCTCTCGCCGCTTCTCGCTGCAACCTTCATGCAGAAACCGTTACGCTGATGTAGTTTCTTCCTTTTCTGTACCGCGCGCGCGCCGCGATCCCTAAATTCTGTTGCTTCGCCGCGAGCGAGTTAGCTGCTCGCACCGTCTGCTCGCATCTCCATGCTGCCCACGAGGTCTGAAGACGTGCTCAAGCTCATCGACAGGCAGTATGGAGTGGCTGATCAGCGGGCGTACCACAACGCGCTCTGGCTGAAAACCACAGAGGGCAGCGAAGCGTCGGTACAGAAGTTCAAGGGCAAAAAATACCGCGTTCTGCTGCGCAATGCGATGGGCGGGCGCAATGGCAAGCTGGAATCGATCAAGGGGTTTGGCGAGATGGCTAGCCTTCTCGACGCCGGAGAGCAGCCCCTCAATCAGCACCCAGCGCTGCTCTTCCACACGAGTGGTGCGGAATGGGCGCCGAAGACCCAGGCGGGGCTTAATGATTTCATCGCAGTGATCCGTCACAACCCTGCCATGCGCCGACTATACGAGCTGGCTGAGGCCGGCACCTTCAAGTCTGCTGCAGGCGCGGTGACAGAGGCGGAGGCACTGCAGAGGCTCGCGGCGCAGGCGCCAGCGGGCTCTGGAGCACCCCAGCCGTCGCCTGCGCCTGCGCCTGCGCCTGCGCCTGCGCCTGGGCCTGCGCCTGCGCCTGCGCCTGCGCCTGCGCCTGCGCCTGCGGCTGCGGCTGCGGCTGCAGCTGCTCCGGAGACACAGCCGCCACAGCCGCTACAGCCACCAAAGCCGCAGCCGCAGCCGTGGCCGCAGCCCCAGCAGCCCCATCCCCCGCAGCAGCATCCCATCCGCAGCCCGCCGCCGCAGCCGCCTCCGCCGCAGCCTCTGCTGCCAGAATCGCCTTCTTCTGTCTTGGACGAGGGGCCCGTGGACGATCTGTATTATTGCGCTCCGAACCCCGCTTCGGACGACGGCAGCCAGGTGGAGGGCGTCCTTGGAGCCTCGCCAACGTCTCCAGCCCCGGGCGGTGAGATTTCTTCTGGGTCCGAGGCGGTGCTAGTGGGGCTGACAGGCATGATCCACCTCAACGGGACTCGGGTCGTGGTCAGGCACTTCGTCACCGAGGGTGAAGGGGCGGGGCGGTACGTGGTCAAGGTTGCTGGACAGAAACCTCTCGCGATCCGCCGCGAGAACCTGCAGATAGCTACTCCAGCCGCCGCCGCCGCCACTTCCGCAACCGCCGCCACCGCTTCCGCAGCTGCCGCCTCTCCGCACGCCTCCGATGAGCGGCTCGCAAAGTGGAACTCGGTCGAGCGTGCAAGGCGACACATTGGGCGGCGAGTGAATGTCTACTGGGACTTTGAGAAGCAGTGGTTCTCAGGAGAGATATCAGAAGTCGCCAAAAGTGTCAGCGAGATAACGGGAGGGGTGCGTGCCCACGTTCGGTATGATGACGGCGAGTCAAGGTGGGAAAAGCTCTGGGAGATGGACTATGACTTGCTGGGAGTTTCGGGTGCTGGCCCGTCGGGAGCGGTCAAGACGGAGGTGATCGTCAAGCAGGAGGAGGACGAGGGCGGCAAGCGGCGATCTGGGCGTGTCGCGGGTAAATTGACTGCGGCACGCGTAGACACGGCGACGAGCACAAAGGCGCTGGATGCAGCGAGCAGGCTTGTACTTGTAGAGCTTCACTGTGGCACGGCGCGCCTGTCCCGCGCCGCCCATGTCAACCACGGCTGCATCGTAAAGATGCTCGACATCAAGAACGTCGTGGAGTGGGACGACCAGTTCAAGCAGGGCGACTGGGTGACCTTCGAGAAAATGGACATCGACAAAATGATGGAGGTTGGGGAGGATCGTGTGCTGATGGACCTGTTGAGAGGTGCACACATCTTGTGGGTCGCTCCGCCGTGCACGCGCATGAGCAATCAGACAGCGGGGGAGGAGCAGCGCAGCGAAGCACGCCCCACAGGGCATGGGGGAGAGGGAATGACGCCGCAGGGCCGGGCGTCGGACAAGCACGTGAAGAGAGTTCTCAAGATCCTCAACACCGCCCGGGCGGTTGCGCCGTGGATCAAGATAGTCATGGAAAACCCTGCAGACGCCGGCATGGAGCGGCTCGAGTTTGTGCAACAGGTGGCCGAGAACTTGAACCTGACTGCTGTGCACGTCAACTACTGCGCCAAGTCGGATGCCTACCCGTGGAAGAAGACCGTCCTCTACACCAATAGCAAGTCGATCATCGAGCTGTACAACAAGGGCCAAATGCTGTGCAAGCACCCGCCCACGTTCAAGCATGTCGAGTGCTCCAAGAACCCGGTTGAGGCGGCTTCGTACAAACCGCTCTGGGCTGCAGAGTGGGCCGATCTTCTAGTGCAAGATGCGAAGAAGGCTCGCGCGGACAGCGCGTTTCAGCATGCGCCACCTGAGAAGCGACAGAAGGTGGGCTTTGATGAAGGTGTGGCGGTGGTGAAGTTGGAGGAGTAGCGCTACTCTCTCACTCTGGTCTGTGTTACGGCTGTCCTATAGCACTCTTGGGGAGCGTCTTCTTTCTTGGATCTTGCAGGGCACAGAGGCACCACACAAAAAAAAGACTGACCAATATTACACACATGGTACACGACACATACGTTCTGACATCTGAGCGTGACGCACGTCGTGTCTCGTGAGCATTCTCCTCGCTCACCACACACCCTCGACGAAGACACCCTTCAAAAGTAGAGCCCGGACAGGATCGCGTTGATGCCGACCACCCACATCTCCTTGGCCTCGGCCGTCGGCGCCATCAGAGTCAGCGTGCGCGACTCGAGCGTCACCTGAGGGAAAGGTGAGGGAAGGGAAGGGAAACCCGCACCGCTGCTGTAGTGTGGGGCGGGGGTGGGCTGTCCCCGCATACAAGAGGCATTGAAGGTGCAAAAGGCTGAGCTCCTCTCGCAGGGGGAGCCCCGCCGAACGATTCACACACTGCCTCTGCCCCGAGTCATCTCGGCTGATCTCGCTCGATCTCGGGTCGTTCTCAGGAGAGAGCGCGCCCAGAGAGTCACACTGCTCCGAGAGGCAGAGGCCGGCCTCCGAGCCGACGCCCCCGCCCTCCGCCCCTCCCCCTCCGCCGCCCGCTCCGCCGCCCTCGCCCGCCGCCGCGTCCCAGCGCGAGGGGCCGAACCGCGCCAGCAGCTGCGCCGCGCCCTCCTTCGGCGCGACTGCGGCGCACGTCTGACCGGGACCGCGGCCTACGAGGGAAGGAGCGCGCCTCCGCCCTCTGCCTGAGAGGCGGGTCGACTGTGCGCTGCCTCGTCACCTCTCGTCACATCTCGTCTCCTCTCGTCACCTCTCGTCACCTCTCGCCACCTCTCGTCGCCTCTCGTCGCCTCTCGTCGCATCTCTCGCGCACCGGAGGGGCACGCCCCCCGAAGCACCGGCAGCCGCCTGCTGAGCGCCTCCTCGCTCTCGAACACGACGTCGAGACGCGGCGTGTCGAGCCGGCTGGTGGCCGAGGTGGTGGCCAAGGTGGTGGCGGCGCCGCCCGGCGGCGGGGCGGCTCCGCTGAGGTGCCGGTTGACGCACGCGGCGGGGAGGCGATTCGGCTTTGGCGTCGAGTAGCCGGCAGCAAAGATGTGACAGCGAGGAGTCGCCCAGGAGAGCTGTGCGTCTGGCTGCTGCCGCTGGGTCTTCTTTCAGCCGAGAGGCAGGCTTGCAGCTCACTCACGATTCCCCTCTCACTGGCCCGGCGCCCACGCCTCGATCTTCTTGGGCAGCGGCTGGTTCGACAGGTCCTCTCCGTGGCCTAGGCAGCCGAGGTCGCCCCTGCCCCAGGTGAAGACAGCGCCATCTGCGGTGGTGGCGAGGCTGTGGCTGGCTCCAGCCGACACGGCGACGATGCGCTGGCCAGCCAATGCCTCGATCTTCTTCGGCAGCGGCCGGTCCCATAGGTCGTTGCCGTGGCCCAAGCGGCCTTGGGCTCTACCGCCCCAGCTCCAGAGGGCGCCGTCGGCAGTGAGGGCGAGGCTGTGGCTGGCTCCAGCCGAGACAGCCACAACGCCAGCCAAAGCCTCGATCTTCTTGGGCAGCAGCTGGTCCTGCGTGTCACCGTGGCCCAGCTTGCCACCGGTTCCACCGCCCCAGCTCCAGACGGCGCCGTCGGCGGTGATGGCGATGCTGTGGAACGCTCCAGCCGACACGGCGACGACGCGCTGGCCAGCAAAGGCCTCGACCTTCTTGGGCAGCAGCTGGTTCTGCTCGTCGCCGTGGCCCAGCATGCCAAAGACTCCACCGCCCCAGCTCCACACGGCACCGTCGGCGGTGAGGGCGAGGCCGTGCTGGTAACCAGCCAACACAGCGACGACGCGCTGGTCAGCAAAGGCCTCGACCTTCTTCGGCAGCAGCTGGACCTGCTGGTCGCCGTGGCCCAGCTGGCCATCGCCTCCCCAGCCCCAGCTCCAGACGGCGCCGCTGCTGGTGAGGGCGAGGCTGTACCCGCCTCCAGCCGACACAGCGACGACGCGCTGTCCAGCAAAGGCCTCGATCTTCATTGGCAGCAGCTGGTTCTGCGTGTTGCCGTGGCCCAGCTGGCCCCAGGCTCCATAGCCCCAGTTCCAAACGGCTCCGTCGGCGGTGAGGGTCAAACTGTGGAGAGGCCCAGTCGACACGCTCACGGCGCGCTCAACCATCGACGGGAGGCGGGTCGGCGTATTGAGCTGCGTCACACCCTCGCCGTGGCCGAGCAGTCCCCGCAGCCAGCCCTCAGCCGTCCCGCACGACGAGAGCCGCCCCTCGCCGTCGATGAAGAGGCTGTGCTGACGGCCTCCCGCCGCCTTCACCGGCGGGTTGGACTCGCACAGCAGCGCCGAATAGCACAGCCATCGTACGGCGCAGCCCTCGCCCTCTGGCTGCGCCGGCAGCTCGAAGCCGCGCTCTTGCACCCACAAGCGGATGCCCTCCAGCGCAAGTGAGGCGTGGAAGAGCAGCGAGACGGCAGCGACGCGAGCGATGTCGGCGGGGTCGCAGCGGGAGAGGGCGCGCACGAGGAGCTCCGTGGGGAGGTCGAGGAGGCGGGTATGAGGCGGCGTGCCTGGCGAGGGGGCGGCGGCAGCGCGCAGCCGCGAGGCGACAAGAAAAAGAATTCTAAGACACAAGCCTCTCTCACAGCACACTGGCACGACAAGGGCGCAGACTGGCGCGGACTGGCACACACACAGGCTCACCACCGGAGCCAAACGCCGCCCACATCATCGCAAGCCCTGTCAGCAGTCCTCCTCCAGAATCGCAGAATGTACTTAAGAGCTAGATAACGGACAGAAGAGAGAGCTCTCACGCCGCGCGTAGGGCCCCTAGGGGCCTAGAGAACACAACCCCCTCTCCCTTCTCTGCCAGTTAGCTAAAACTGGCCGCATCAGTTTTTTCTTTTTTCTACGAATAAAAAACACAGTGGTGTGTACATGTCGGCTGTCGCGGAATCGCTTGTCGGTTGGCTGGCCGGCGCGCCATCGCTGTGTCGGCTGGATGCTGGCATAACCTCGCCATCACCGCCGACCACTCTGTCTGGAGCCCCACCGCCGCCGACCACTCTGTCATGCCCCATCCCTGTCGCTTCTTCCTCTGTCGCGTCGCTCTCCTCTGGAACGTTCTGCGATGGCGGCCGCCGCCGCCTGCCGCTCCCTTGCTCTCGCTGCTTCTCTCGCCTTTCGTCGCAAGAGAGCTTGGGAGTGTATCGCCGCGTCCTTGGAGCACTTGGAGTGCGGTGTCATAAGCCTCAGAAAGGAAGAAAGAAAACAGACAACCCAAGGGAGGGATGGGAGGACGGCACGCCGCCACCACACAGGGATTTTAAGGAGAGGAGTGTGGTGCTAGCCCTCGCCCACCCTAACCCTTGGTCGTCTGCCTCTTTCTATCTCCCTTCGCAGTCCCTCGCCGATTCTCATCATTGATTGATTCATTATCTTACGTCCGTCCCGCCGCCAACAGCGCGGCCTGACTCCTCATCACCATACATTGATCAATCAATGTCAACATACATTGATGGGAAGGCGAAACACAGTCCGACCAACGAGCGGGACACCAACGCGGTATGGGTGGAGCAGATCACAGATCACGTCTGTCAACCTCTCACACGACCAGGTAGGTAGGTAGGTAGGTAGACCAGCGCATAGCGCCTCCGATGTATTTTCTTCTCATGAGGCCGGAGGAGTATGACGGCCTCTTCGACGGCCCATAAGGGGCCGTTGTCTGCTGTGCCTTTTGTGGTGCTAGTTCGTGCCAGTCTGCTGTGAGAGGGGCTTGTATTCGTAGAATTCTTCTCCTAACAAGGGTTATATCCTCGGGTCCCTAGATAACGGCGCCGGGCAGACATCGCGAGAAAAAGAATTTTCGCGGTAAGCGTCCTGGGCGGCGATGTCGGATGAGAGCGTGCGTGGAGTCGTGTCTGGTGTTTGTTAGCTCCGAGTAGAGGGGGCGTTCCACAGTCGACATACACTTATCGCAGCATGGTGGTTTGGGCGCGGCGGCGGGCGCGGCGGCGGCGCACGTGCCCGCTCGCTCGCGCTCCGCGCGCTCCAGCTCCCGTGTGTACTCGGACTTCAAGTTGATCTGCCCGTCGAGGCTGCCGTCGATGTGCATGGTGAACCGGACGGTGGCCGCGTCGATGTGCTGGGCGTGTCCCATCAGCGAGCTGATGAAGGACGCCTCGCGCATCGTCAGCGGCTCGCCGCCCTTCATGCACCGCTCAGCATCGCGGAGGCGGCTAGCACTGTCGCGCTTGAATGCCGGCATTCAAGCGATCTCTGTTCCCCTGAGCAGTCGGTGACCACGCGCGGGTTTTTCTTTTAGCTCAAGTCATCGGCGGAAACACGAGCGCGCAAACGCCCGACTAGTGCACCAACACGGGACGGATGGGCCTTTTCCGGTCGTCATCCAGAGACAGCGGCAGTGACAGCAAGAGCAGCACCACGCGCGCCGGGGCGGCGACGCCAGGCCAAGTTACTCCCGCCACGTCGGGGCCGGCGACTCCCTCCACCAGCTCGGCAGACTCGGTCGTGGACAACGAGGCCTCGATGGCGGCCGTCGATTCCGAGATCCTCAGTTCTAGCAGTGCGAGGCTGCGCGCGGAGTGCGCGGCGCTCGGGTGGGAGGCGGGAGCGCTCGAGGTGCCCGCCGCCGGCCGCACACCCTTTGCCGACTTCCGGCAGCACGCGAAGCTCGCGTCGGGCGAGTTTTGCGACGTGAGCGCCGCGGTCTTTCGGGGGTCGGACGGCCTCACCTTCAGGGTGGGAGTCAAGGTGCTCAAGGCGGGGCGACAGGTGACCGAGATCGCCGTCTCGGACCTGCGGCGGGAGGCGGCCGCCCCAGCTCTCCCCACCTCTCCCCACCTCTCCCCACCTCTCCCCATCTCTCCTCAATCTCTCCCACCTCTCCCCAGCTCTCCCCATCTCTCCTCAATCTCTCCTCAATCTCTCCCCGATCTTTTCCCCACCTCTCCCCATCTCTCCTCAATTTCTCCCCACCTCTCCCCATCTCTCCCCACCTCTCGGGACCTCCGCTCCGCCCCGCTACCTCACCCGTGTACTGGACATGGACGCGTCCATGACATGTCCGAGCCGTGCTCCCCCAGGCCGCCGTCCTCGCCCGGCTGCGCCACCCGCACGTCGTCTGCCTGGTCGCCTTTGGAGAGCACCCGAACGGGATGCCCTTCTACGCGATGGCGCGAGATATGGGGAGATATGGCGCGAGATATGGGGAGAGATGGGGAGCACCCGAGCGGGATGCCCTTCTACGCGATGGCGCGAGATATGGGGAGATATGGCGCGAGATATGGGGAGATATGGAGAGCACCCGAGCGGGATGCCCTTCTACCGCGATGGCGCCGCCGCCTGACGCGACGCGACGGGAGACGGGGGGCGGCGGACGCGAGACTCCGTTTCTGAACAGGAGCTCTTCGAGGCGACGCTCATGTCATGCTGTGAACGGCGTCTCTTCACACCTGCAGCTGTGAACAGGAGCTCTTCGAGGCGACGCTCAGCGCGGTGCTGCCGCGCAAGCCCAAGGAGTCAAAGGCGCGCCAACCCCACCAACCCCCCGCCGACCCCGCCTCCCCTCTGCGCCTTTCCCCCCCCAGCCACTGCACCTCGCCCCCCCAGCCACTGCGCCTCGCCCCCCCAGCCACTGCGCCTCGGCCCCCCAGCCTCTGCACCTCGCCCCCCCAGCCACTGCGCCTCGCCCCCCCAGCCACTGCGCCTCGCCCCCCCAGCCTCTGCACCTC